GCAGGGGATTGGACCAGAGCAGTTGAAGAAAGGGGAAAAACAAAGTTCCCAGTTAGCTCCCAAGGCTGAAAAAAATGCACCCAAGTTGAGGCAACGATCACATAAACTCGGGCTGCCAATTAAAACTTTCACCTACTGCATGTAAGAGCTGGAGGTAACGCTAGCCTTTGCTAAACTGCTGAGTTGTTAAGGAATGTGTTAGAATGTTCCAGATGATCATAAGTTAAATGAGCCCTAGGCCTAGAGACTAAAAGGGTAGGGTGTACAAGAGGGAGGATGCATGGTGTCACAGTGAGAGTTGACTGGCACAACTGTGAGGGAGGTGGAAGAAGTGTGAATGAGGCATGGACATGTGATTTTCTTCTGGTAGCTTCTAGTTTTAACCTAATTATGATTTGTACTGTTGTCTCTGAACACGTCAGTACTTTTTTTTTCCAAAAGGAAAAGAAACCACATAATTAATAGTAAAATACAAGGTCTGGCTGTTGCTAATGAGATCACTGGGTTCAGTCCATATTTATACTTAAAAGTAGGCCTGTTGAAACAAATGGAACTTAAGTTAGTCGTAACTAATACGGCTACTGTTGTTTTCAGTGGATCTACTCTAAATTTGATTAAGAATGGGTACAAGTCACTATGTGCAATCGAAATCTGTCACACCTGGAAGGCAGAAGCCACCTAATTCCAGATATTTCCTTGCTGACTGGCTGGTTGCATTGCCATGTTTGGGCTGCTTATCAAAAATTTAACAGTAAAGAGCAGCTGCTGCTGTTGACTTGTACAGCCCCAGGACTCAATAGCTTTCAGCACATCCAAGGACAACATACTGTTTGTAATTTGGTAGTATTGCAGGTTGATGATTAATCTATTTCTGTCCCCTAAGGCATTCATTAAAGCAGCATGAAAATATATAATACTTTTAAAATGAAATTTCAAAACAAATGTGCAAAACACATGCTATCTGATGACACTGATAGATTGACTTGTAAAGTAATCAATAAAATAAAACACATTTGTAACATCAGAATGTGACCTGCATTCTCTGAAGCAAAGTGGATTGTTAGCTTTATACGAGGTATCCAGTTATAACTAAAAGAATTAGGTTTTTATGAGTTTGAATGTGTTTTGGTTTAAAAAAAAATATGCTTAGCACTTTAATTTTAAAGAATTTAATAGCTTTTAAAGTTGATAGGCTCTTAAACATTCTGTTTCCCCCCTAAACCAGCTTTGCCCATATTCCCCAAACAATTCCTGGCCAGGCAGATTCAAAACATACTTCACGCCGATTGGCTTCCTTGCACTCACAGTGCCACTGTGTTGGCATAATGGACTTTTTGCGGGAAGCAGAAAATGTGGAAAAAGCAGAGAAAAAACATCAGAGGGTTACAAATGGGAGATGATGTCATTTGGACCTCCATAAAATTCAATGTTTCAGGCATCTCGACTGTACAGTAAAAGCCTCAGCTAGAAACACTCAAGGGCTAAAGAAGGAACAAATGCAGAGGGTCTCGGCAAATATGATGCTATTACCGGCAGAGTGCTGTTCACATCCCTTTGTATTTTTGAATGCTTGTGGGATACTTGCTCCTATTCAGAATAGGGCACACTCCAGTGATATGTATACCTGGAGAATACCTGGGGGTTGGTATGTCATCCAAACACAGATGAAATGCTAAGCCACAGTCAAGCCAAAAGGCTACCGTATTTTTCGCTCTATAAGACGCACCTAACCATAAGATGTACCTAGTTTTTAGAGGAGGAAAAAAATACTCTGAATCAAATGGTTTACTAAACTATTTAATAAACTATAACAGAATACAGTAATACCGTATTTCAGCCTCGTAAAGTGAACAGCAGTCAACAGTGGCATTAAGAACTATCATCACTGTCATTAACAAAAGAGAGACTTTAAAGTTCGAGTACTCTTCTAGTTTTCATTGAACCCATAGAACTCATCATCACTAGAGTTAGAATTTATGAAGCTCTGTTGCTCACAATCACTGACATCACTTTCTTAGTCAGTAGTGGAATTATTGAAGGAATCCACAATCTACACCAGTTATACAAGAGCTGCTGCAGACAATTCAATAACAAATCTAAAAAAGCCAGTAATGTCCATGCTGCCCTACTAGTAAATAATAGAAAAAAACTTCTGACAAAAAATGAGATATTGTATGGTAAATCAAACACACAGCGTACTAAGTAGCCTTTGAAGAATAAACTTCATACATGAAGGTAATGCTGTTCAAATATCCACTGATCCTAACAAAAATGTATCTGATCAACTAACAGATAACTGATCCATGGAAAGCTTCCTGATAATCACAGGCACATTCCCCATCGCTTCCCCATGGGCTTCATTAAAAGATGGGTTGCCATTTGAAAACACACACCGACCTGTGATTAACAGCTCTTACCTGTGCCAGAGGAGGGGGGCAGAGCAGGGCGTGCCAAGTGTGTGCCGGCCAGGTGGTGCCATGTGAGGCCGGCAGTGTGCCGGCGGTGGTCTTCCAGGCGGCGCGGCAGCAGGTCTTCCCAGGTGGTGGGGGTGAGCAGTTCCTGGGCGGTGGGGATGTGTAGTCCGTCTCTCTGTGCGGCCGGCGGGTTAAAGGCTGCGGCGGCTCCTCCGCATGCCTCCCCCTGAGCGGCACAGGTCTCACCTGCACCGGTGGGGGGGGGGCAGAGCAGGGCGCGCCGAGCGCGTGCCGGCTAGGTGGTGCCACGTGGTGCAGGCGGCCAGCAGCGTGCCGGCGATGGTTTTTTCCAGGCGGCGCGGTGGCAGCGGCAGGTCTTCCCGGGTGGTGGGGGTGAGCAGTCCGTCTCTTCATGCTCTCCGTGCAGCCGGTGGGTTAAAGGCTGTGGCTCCTCCTCCACATGCCTCCCCCTGAGCGGCACAGCTCTCACCTGCGCCGGAGGGGGGGGGACGGAGCAGGGCGCGCCAAGCACGTGCCGGCCAGGTGGTGCCATGTGCTGCAGGCGGCCGGCAGTGTCCCGGGTGTCGGGCACACACACATTCGCTCTATAAGACGCGCAGACATTTCCCCTTACTTTTGAGGGGGAAAAATGTGCGTCTTATAGAGCGAAAAATACAGTATATAGCAAGAATGCAAAAAGGGGTGCCCACCGCTCACGGGTGACCCTGTTCTGCCAGCACGGGTGGGAATGTGTGTGGGGAGCTGCCAGGCCCCGCTGCATGTCACCCACTCAGCCCTGATGGGTGTTGGGGTGGCAGCACATGGCAGGGGAAGGGCCACCAGTTTTGCTCCCTCAAGAGGAAGTGAGGCCTCTGTACCACTGACGCAGTCCTTCCAGCTGTGACTTTGGGTGGGAAGTAGCTACTTGGCCTGCTTCCTTTCAAGGATACCAATTGGAAGACTGAGCTGCAGGGTGGAAGTCCTCCACTGTGTCCCATGATCCATTGAGAATTTTAACTACAGTGCATGGTTAACATATCCAGCGGGTTAAAAGTGTCACCTGAAACCAGCCAACAAGTGCTTGATTCAGGTTGCAATAAAACCATAAACAAATCAAAGTGCAGTAAATGAACCTGATAGAATATAGAATAATGAATAGGAGAACTTCCTAAAATTAAAGAGCAGCCTCAATATGTACAGGCTTGGTAGAACAGCAGTTTTTAACCAGCCTTCTAAAGAAAGGCCAAGGAATCCAACCTGACTTCTGAGAAAAGGGATCTCCTTCATCAGGATGCTGCAGAACAGAAGTCCTTGCTGTGGTTCTATGTCGACTTCGCTGGTTCAGGAACTGGGCCATGTAGCAGGGCCTCTGGTGAAGACCCTCAGTTCTGAGCAGGTGCAGGCAAGAGGAAATAGTCTCTTAGGTATTTGGGTTCCGGGTGGATTTTTAAAGCTCCAAAATTGAAAACCAGACCATTGCTGTGTAATTTATAATTCGTATCTTCAGGACTTTGGGAGAAAATACCCTAATTGTACAGGAAGGTGTTTAAAAACAAAGAAGCTCAGGGTCCAGTAGAAATGGCCAGGCATTAAGTGCTAAGAAGAGCAACAGATCTGTACTAAATCCTGGTTTTGGCATATTCAGACCTGACAGTCTTCAAATCTTGAGGCTGCCAGAGTCCCTTGAGATTCTCTGAAGGCACCTCTGAGCTGTGCCAAACTCTTCCTGCTCGCTACTGCCAAAATTCATTTATGCTTGGAGTTAGCGAGAAGCAGACAGAAATGGAAGAGCTTTTAGGGTAGGAAATGCAGTAGCATGTGCTGCAGCTGAGAAAGACAGTGAAGCTGGACTGCTGAGACTGCCAGCGTGCTGTCTGTATCTATTTTGAGAGTTCAGCTCCCAGAAGGCTTCAGTGCGTGGAACTCATCATCTGATGGCAAATGCCTCATGACATCTGGTGCTGCAGCTGGAGAGAGGACCGCTACCTCTCAAGAGTGCAGCTGTGCACTCGTTTTGCTTAATTAATTGCACGAGGACAAGCAGAAACAAAAAGCTAGCAAGTACAAAACACATTGCACAACGGCCTCTAAAGTACAACAGCTATCCCGCTAGCTGAAAATGAGCCTATGCGTCACACCTCTCCTCGCCTTGTAAGATCAAGGCAGGCTGGTAAGCAGAGACAGGACTTCGTCCCCAACTTTGGAATGCTTTCTGGAAGGAAACTCAGCTGGCACTCAGTTGTTATCTTTTGTTTCAGGAGAGAATGCCTGCTCTTGCTTTATTGGTCGGTCTTTGAGCTTTTGGGATAAATCGAGAGCCTTCTCATTTGGGGAAAAATGTCTTGAATTCCACTTGCAAACTCCTGAGAAAGTGTGTTCTTCATCTCCTTTTGGTTATTTAGAAACCATGTCTTGCTGCACATATTTTAAAAGCTTGTTCTGTAAAGATACTTGATCCAGTACAGTTTATCTTCATGTAATAGGACGTGGTATAAGTATCATCCTATATATGCTTCTAAAAAAACAGCATTTATGAAAGCCATGAAAATACATTTATCCCCTCTCTTTCTCTCTCTCTCATTTTAGTGAATGAAATAATAGGACGAGACATGTCTCAGATCTCCGTGTCCCACGGAGTGGGAGTAGCCATCCATTCTCCACATACGTGCTCTGCATCGTTGGAGGCAGGAATATCGGATGGAGTTTAATAACAACTGAACTTGTGATTGAAGTGACCCAGAAATCTTCGCACTTTTCCTCTGAATGATGCTTCACCCCCTCTTTAGATGTGCTGTGCTTCCGACTTTGTGGCCTTGATGATCCAGACAGTGGATCCTTAAAGAACTGTTTTGGCAGGGTGGGGAAGGGGTTGTACTTCTAATTTAGGAACACAGCAATCTAATTTTAGCTTTTTAGGATGCTGAAAAAGAATCTTTATAAGAAATGGACACAAAGAAGCAAGACAAGCTACTCTGACCTTGAAAAAAAGATACCAATGAGCTTTGCTTGTTTTGTGCATATAGTAGACTTCTTTTATATTAAGTGCTTAATCGTATGGAGAAATTTAGTTTTGCTCTCAATATGCACATTTCTGAATGTGGGGATTTTTTTAAAAAAATACACATCTTCATATGCTGCTTTTCCTTAGGAGAGAGATTAGGATTGTAATAGAAATTTGTACACCTTTGAGTGGGAGGTCTTTTTGAAGAGCCTTTAAGCTTATGTTGTTTAAAAGAGAACTTTTTTATAATCAAATCTTCCAGAGACACAATTATACCTGTCATCTTAAGCCAATGCCTTTGGAAGTCTTGTGTCTAGAATATTATTAGCATTTTCTTTGGATTTTTAGGAAGCAAAGCCAAATAGGTCTGTGTTCTTCATACATTAAAACCTTTGGTAGGCTGCAAAGAGACCATTCCACCATGAAAATATTGGGATAGAAATGACATTCCAAAATCTAACTTTTATGACTTTGTAATCCATGCTAGCACAGGCCTCTTTTAATAGAAACAGCTTTGCTTACTCAGATCAATTTCTAGAAATGCTCATTTTTAAAAGGCAATTAAGGTTTTTGGATATATACATAAAATGGCATGCTATAAAGAGACATTTTGGTCAGAATTATTTTAAATTAGGGTTATCGCCACTGTTTTCAAATCCCTCAGGTAGGGGTTTTCTCTCAAATCATGTTTTATTTTTCTGCTAGAACTGATTTTTATCTCTTGTTACTCACATTTGCATCTTCAAATGTTTCTCACGGCATTGTGGCACTTGTGTTCACAGGCATTTCTCCTCTGTGATGGGGTGGATAGCATGCATCCCCCCAGGGGGCTTGGGCTGCAGCTGCGGTCGTCCCTCATTCATGGGGATTGTGTTGGGGGTGGCAGGCCAGGCCCTCTGGGGGAACACAAGTAGTGCACCCCTGATCTAAGGAGTCCCAGTTATAGTAAAGGGAATGTAACAGGTTTGACAGGTCATTGGAATATATTGCAGTTAATTGAACAAGTCTTGCAGCCGTCACACTGTAACAGAGTCACCAGTGCCGCTAACAAAGACAGCTTACTGTAGTTGGCAACAGTCGGAGGCACAATCCACCGCAGGCACCTCCAAAACCAGTGGGGCTTGCGCCTTCTGCAATGACTTGCACTTCCAGCAGCCCACGCCCTCCAGGAATAATGTTTACAATGATGCCTTTGCATTCTCAGGCCTCTCTGAATTAAGGGGGCGGAGGGAACCCCAAGAATGGAACTGCAGCTGTCAGGTGGGGCACCATTTCATGTTTGTATTTCTCACGGCGGCTTGTCTGATCACAGAATTTGGCTGATACGAAATCCAGATGTTTAAGATGAGATTCCCAATAGTTAAAGGATTTCTTTTGAACTGTTTTAGTCAAATGTTGCTGCAAAAATTGGAAAATCAAGCTTATTCCACTTGAGCTAACCACGTGGAGCAGGAGGCTGTAGATTGGAATGGACATTAAGGCTGCAATCCAAAGTGTGTTTAGGGAGAAAACCAGCCTAGTGCAACCCATGCCGGGAACTGAAGCCTTTTTTCTGTGTTAACATGCATAGGATCCTGCCCTAAGAAGATTTGCTTTAAAAAGCCATGGGGGTAAGATAAAACTTGTCCTGTTGAGGGGGTTTTTCCCCTTCAGTGTATTTGCATTGTAACATAAGGTCTTAAGTGCAGCTGAAGTTTTGATTTGTTGGAAGGACAGAAGCAAGATGGGCTTTTAAGTCACATATCGGACTTTAAAGCCTGGGAACTCTCCAGCAACAATGAATGGGAAACCCAGTGCACTTTAAGCAGTCTTCCCTCCTGTGAGAGCACCATTTTGGTCTTCAATTTACGTAACCTCCCTGTTGTAAAATAAAACATAGCAGGTTCAGGTGTGTTTGCTCAGTTTCGGAACTGAACAGTGCCTGTCCTTTTTAACCACAACAAAGCAACTCCTATAAAGTTTAGAATTAATATTGAAGCATGGTAATTTTAGATGACTTATCAAAGCTAATGTGTGGGTGTTTTGCTAGGACCTGCATTGCAAGTGCAGAAAAGTAATTTGTCATCATATTCTTGTTGCAACTAGGGGGTTTCACATTTGGGAAGCCCTTAAATTATGCAATGTTATTCCTCCCCCCTCCCTTCTTCCAGACAGGTCTGCATTTTCTCTTGAGATATGTAACATTCTCATTTGTTCTGTGATTTTTAGAATGTCATGTATAAAAATTAGAAATCAAAGGAGCAGCTCTCTCTCAATTGGATAAGGTGGTCTCTCTAGTGTTTCTCTGCTAGCAAATCTGTCTTCTGTTCATTGAGTCTGAACAGTTTTAAAAGAAGCTGAAGTATGGCTAGTTACACTGTAGCACTTCTCTCCTTTTTAAATAATCCAAGCCTTCTATGTACATTTTGTGGCGGCAGGGGCAGCTGTATTAACAGTTTTCACTCCTTTTAATGGGTCTGCAGTAACCGACGGTTGCAGGGCGATCTCATGTCTCAGAGCTTTCTGTACTCTGTGGGGTTTCATGGTCCCTGACGGGGTGTGGCACACCCTCTTCTCCCTTCTAGGTTGTTCTTGAGTAGTTTGGATTTATATTGTAGCTAAAATGTGGGAACCCAAACAATCCCGAGTTGCTATGCACTAAGTGAGCAATCCACCTAGTACTGCAGTATTACAGCCTCTCTCCATTTCAGCAAGATTTGCATAGGAGCCCCTTGTAAATGCCTTCTGAAAACTCTGGAGATTTTGCAGCAGCGGAGCTGGTGGATTGTTCACAAAATCTTCTGATGCCTTTAAATACCTTGATGCCTGTAGACGTAGAAATGCTTTCCTATTTAAAATAAAAATATAGACTTTGGGTACTAAAATGGTTGTATTTGCCTTGTAAAAGCTTCAGTACAAGGGTCTTAATTTTATTTTATTTTTTGCTTGTGTGATGCTATAGTTAAGACTGTTAATCTTGTATAATGTAGTGGATATAAAAGCACACGATCTCCATTGACTATGCAACTTACAATTTTCAGCAGCGGCCTGTGACTGGCTTCTACCTTGCTAGCCTCTCTCGCCTCCAGATCTACAATTGCTTTCTATGCTGGTGTCCAATTTTTAAAAATATGATAGGAAGCCCAAATAAATTAACATCTTTTGGAGTAAGATTGGAGGCTTTCAGACGAGGGGGCAGTCAGTGGCCCATTTGATATGGGTTGTAAAAGTAGTTTTAGTTTTACCAAAGTTTGACCACAATCTGGCACCTATTGTAATAAACTGTCCATCAGAAAAATGGAACTGCCATCCTTTATAAACCAAAGATTAAAAATGAAGAACACAAATTTTGTTTGAATCCAAACAAATCTTGGAAAACTCTATTTTTGATACGCAGAATGAATGTCATTCCTTGAGGTTTGGAGATTGTTCAAATTGAAGTTTTATATTTAACTATGTGGGACAATGATTTAAGACTAAAGGTTACATTCTAGATGTTTACAGAGCCTTGTATTGTAATTTCATGTACATTTTGTGTATTAAACCTTTTGTAAGTTATGATTGCAGTGCTTACATGCAGAAGTACAAAGGGAAAGACATGCATTTTAGGCTCTTGAATCATAAGTGTTGAAATAAACAAGAAAAGTCATACACGTGTTTCTTCACTGCATACTGTTTTGGGAGGCTTTTGCATGTTTTGGCATGTTTCTCTCATTCCCTTCTTGGTGCTTGTTAAATTTAAAGTTACATGTTACATTTTCCACTGAGACCAGTCAAGATGACCAAAGAACTCCAGACTATTTCTTCCACAGCAGCTTGAGTTTTTACTATACAGCACCTTGGGCAGGTTTTTCATGAAATGAACCTGGAGCTATTTCTTAAATGGCCCAGCTATATGAGCAGATGCCAATTCATAGAATAGTAGGCTCAGAAGGGACCAAGAAGGCCATCGAGCCCAACCCCCTGATCCTGGCTACAAATTTGACAACGGGAAAGATGGGTACTCTTTCCTCCACAATTCCTTCCAAACTGGTGCTTTTAGCACTTTGTGGCAAATGTTTTTAAAGTTTGGTTTTTGAACCTGGGTTTCAGTGGACAGATTGACATCAAAGGTAGTTCCAAATGGTACCCTTGGGATTCAGGAGGCTGCTTTAGATTCAGTAGACAAGGCCCCTAATGCACTGTGCTGAGTAGATAGGAATCAGCACTTACTCTCAGGCGTGAGCTAGTGAGAAAACACTGGAAGACCGCTTCTCACAGCTCTAGGAAAGTAAACTCCTCAAGGATTTGCATTAATTTTGTACAGTGCTACAAACATCCGAAGGAAATGCTGCAATTAAGAATTTGCATCAAACAAATGAGAGGAGGGGGGTTCAAGCAATTGCACTGCATAAGTTCAAGATACTCAATTTTAAAGCTCTATATTAAGAATTTGAAGACAAAAGAACAACAGTTATCAAGGTAAGCAACTGTTTTCTCATGTGAGCAACACTCGCCAAACTATGTCCAGTACTTTCATTTTTTAAAATTGACTATTTTTTTCCACAAGCACAAGGAGGTTGATCTAAATTGTATGGGCCGCTCTCTGAACTTGGGGAGAGGAATACAGAACCAATCCCATGGAAAGGTGGAATGAAGCTGAGAGACTGTCTTAACTGCAGAGAGACATAGAAGTGTTGGTGTGACCTTGTTGTTATTACATTTTTATACTGCCCCATTCCTCATTGGGCTTTCTGCATGGTTTACAAATTTAAGAACAAACAATACAGTAATCATATTTAGAGAAAACAATAAATGAGTATAGCAAAGGCTGATAATCTGCAGCAGTTAAGGTAAAATTAATGCATGGCATAGCCATGCATATAGTAAAAACAATTTAAAATCTATTGAAATGTCTGGAAAATAAAGGTTTTCACCTGGCTGCAAAGAGAAAAGGATGGTGCCAGGACACCTCCTTGGGGAGCATGTTCCAGAGATGGGAAGCAACTGCTGCAGATTATCACACCCCCTCTCTTTTGGGAGGGGTTCGCTGAGAAAGACGTTTGTGGATTAGAAGGACTTCTTAGGAATGGGTAGGAATGTCGGAGCAAGGCACTCCTGCAGGTAACCTTGTGAGGGCTTTGCCCTCCAGACAGGTGCCCTGCAGCTGTCTTGCCGTTCAACTCCCATCAGTCACAGCAAGGTTGCCCACCTGGCTGGGTTGTAGGTCAAGAATGCAGGGGGCTGGACTTCTAGCCAAAAGGCACCGCCTGATCTTGGTTGTGTGGGGGCCAGAAGTGGTGCGCTCTTTGTCTAGACTCAATCACCCGCTTTGTACATGTGGAAAGGTTCGAGGAGGAGGGAGACCGCTTGCTCTAGGCTGGTTCTCCTGGGATCCAGGAACCCTCTATAATCAGCGTCTGGGTTATTTGTGGAGCCGTGGTTCTGTTGCAGGGGTGGTCTTGTGCTCCACCCCCAGGTGTGAAGAGTAATGCCTGGCCTGGAATTCTGTTGCACAAGAGCTAATGCAAGGCTTGTAGATTAAACCTCGGCTTGCTTGTGCTTTGCCTTTCTCCTGCAGGCATTTCAGCAGATGGCTGCAGCATGAAAACAGCTGATTTTGAAAGCAGGCATGAAGTTCAGTGTCTACTTGTTTGGCTATGAATAGGGACCATGGTTTTCTATCCCACTGGAACAGGGCGGTTCTGTTTTCATCAGTTGCTCCTGTTGTGAATGGCCACTGCTGCTGTCCTGTATGGGTTCATTTATTGCCATTTGATTCAGCAATTACAACTTTCTTGCTACAGTGTGAGGTCTGTCTGTCCGTCCGTCCGTCTGTCCGTCCGTCTGGTGTGTGCACATGCGTGTGTGTGCTGGGGACCCACATTCATGCCAGGTGAAAAAGGTCGTTCCTGTTTCAGATGAAGCAGGATCCAGTGTATGAAAAATTGTGCTAAAATGATAGACAGGATCCTGCAGCAATCAGGAATGAACGTGCAACTCATTTCCAGATCCTTCCCAATGCAGAATTTAGCCCTTCCCTTCATTTCCTGGGTCATGGCTAGAAGTGCTGGTTCCCATTGTGGAAGCACCGGATTCCTCGAAATTTTGCTCTAGGCCTGGTTTAGTGATTTGACAAGTGGGCTAGAAAATAGGACTCTTGTCCTTTCTTTCCAGCTGTGCAGCCTAATGAATGTTCACCCCTTTGTAATCCATTTTGTGAAAGGCTTTAGCTCAATCGTAGTACCTCCGTTTTCAATATTCATATTCAACTGAATTCATATTCAATTCTCCGACATTTTTGCTTTAGAATGATCACAGCTAGCTGTACTTTGATTATCCTTCAGAGGCACGGAAACCAGTGATAGACTCACCCTGTGCAGCTAAAGTGCTAACCTGCACATTCAGGATATCCATCCCCTTCTGTGAGGCTGGTAGCATTTGCCTCCTCGCCTGTGTGAGGAAAGAGAGGAGATCTGAGTCCCATCACCTAGCCGGAGCCCCCTGACCAATTTAGGATTCGTCTCCTCGTTGACGCCTCTGCCTTTATGGGTGGCTCCTAGGCTATAAATAGAGGGGGGTGGATGTGTCTGCCAAAGATTTCATATTAAGCAGGGACATCTGAGGCTTCCCTAATATAGTTGGGGGGCTTGAACTCTGCTCCACGTTCCGGCCATGCAATTCGGAGGAAATTTGAATGCAGTGCTGAGGCCGATCGGCCGACAGAGCGGCAGCTTCATGGGCTTCTGTGAGCCTGGCTAGCTGGGGGCACCTCCCGCAGGGAAAGGGAGCTGCTGGGCACTCCAGCTCGCGCTGCTCCTGTCCCCGGCAGGGCGGCAATTAGCCCATCGCTCATGCCAGGCATTGCCTCCTCCAGGACTGGCCGGCCTGTCTTTCATGGCTAATTAGGGAGTTGTGCTCATCCGTCTCCACTGGAAGAAACATTGCGCCTGTTGGCACTCTGGAGCTGAGCCAGGTGTGTAGAGCAGGGACACCAAGGCTGAACCCTACTCTCAAGGGGCCAAATCCAGACCCTAGAATCCACACCCCAAGCACCAGTCATTGGGTGCTTTCCCAGTCGCAACATTTCCCCCATTCTTAAAAGCTGGAAAAAGTTCCAAGGGTTTCCTTACCATGCCACAAGCTTTAAGCTAAGATATGCTGGAAAGTGGCTCCTAAGGGAATTCCAATAGGAATGCGCCTCTTAGACCAAACGCAGCTCTCTCCCTGCAGCTAAACACCCTGCTCCACTCATGTGCTGGACGGTTTGAGCACAGACTAAGCCGGACATAACCCATGGCTGCATTCAGGTGCACAGACCTTTCTTCCAGTTTGCTGTTGTGTCTGAGACCAGGGCAGGGATCATGACCTGCAGGGTCCCCACTCTCCCCATGGCCCCAAACCTACTGTTGGACTCAGGAAAGAAGCTGCACTTTCTGGCTGCAGAAATCAAGAGCTGCTAAGGTTTGGCCTCGGCCGCTGGTGTGCCACTTACTGGGTGGGCTCTAAACATTTCTGTGGCTGCCATGCGCTTTTTGTCAGGACAAAACGAGCAAACGCCTTTCCATAATGCTGCAAAAACCCCACACTGAAGAACATGGTACGGGGTCCCCAACCTGCCCCCCCCATCCTCCCTCCACACTGTGCAACTGAGAGGTTGTGAAAGTGTCTTGCACGGATTCCTCCTTCGCAGTCCCTTCAGAGGTTGCCTACACGCCGCATGTGTTTCCTGCTTATCGAACAGTGTTGCATGCACGTTTCATTTCTCATGGTGTATTAGAAGGAAAGAAATTGGTTTTAGAGGGGAAATCATGTTTCATAGGCATTTGCTGCAGCCAGGCCACGGAACCAGAACAAAGAACCTAAGAAATGTGGTGAGCGTGTCGTGAGCGGAGCCAGCTGGAGCCAGGGGTCAGACTAGATGGCCCAGGAAGCCCTGCTGACTGGCTGTGTTTTTCTGTTTCTAAATATGCCCTCAATGTGTATTTGGCTGGTTAATCTGCCCCCGCACCCCATTAATGAACTGAAGTGGATCCGGATTAAGTGGATCCGGATGAAGGGACTGCATGGTTTCACGGCCACCTCACCATTCTTACATGCTCTGCCTTTTTTGAGAGGTCACTAGCCTCACCTTCAGTCTTCAGCTTAACAGCTCCCCACAAAACAACTGGCAAACCTTTGGCAAGACTCTGCCACAGGTCGTGCCCAAGTGCCCTTGGCGCATGCTCCGGGGTGCGGCTCCGTGGTGGAGCAATGCTTGCATGCGGACGGTGCCCAGCTCCAGGCAGAGCTGGGACAAATCCCTGCAAACACACCGGAAGTCTTTATTCTCAAATGTAGCCGTCTCTTTAGGGCCTTGAAAGCAACTTAAAACGTGCAACAATGCAAAATGTTAGCTTTTATTTTTTTAAGAAACAACTCTAGAACAATTTTTAAAGTTTTTAGCAGTGTTTAGTTTGGGAGGCCCAGGATGCCATTCCCTCTTCCACTCCCAAATATTTTTCTGCCGGTGGTGCAGAATACTGCCCATAAAGGGCCAGTCCTGTGGCTTCCCAAGCACATAGGTTAGAGCTCAACCCAGCTGCAACTTGGCAAAAGAGCTGCAGGACCAGAGCTGGGACCTCAGCCCCAGAGAGCCTCTCCCTCCACTTTTAACTTTCTGTCCTCCAT